GGTGCCAAGAGGCCCAAGAGCGCCTTAATATAGCCCACGAGGGTCCGAAGATGGCCCGAGAGAGCCCCAAGAGGTCCCCCAGAAGGCCACAAAGGGCCAGAGGAGAGCCCCCAGACTTCCCCAGTTATCCCCCAGTGGCTTTCCGACAGCCTGGTAACACGCGGCTCACTAACATCATCGCGCTGACGCCCGACATTCAACCACACAAGCGTTTCGAGAAGGCAGGGGGCAACGGTGATTCGCCTGAGGCGTCATCGACCATATATCGGGTCATGAACTACGCAATGCGATGGTAAAGAGATGCAGAAACGACTCACAACTCAGCCAGATCTGCACTGATGGAAACGTTGAGCTGTGGCTCAATCAAACAAGACAGCGAATGCACTATCTTACCTGAACTGTGGTGCGCTTTTGTTGACCAAGATTAAGAATTCAAACACTGAAATTACATCGAGTAAGCTGCGCAGCAACTCGCGAAGGCAACACCAACTATAATCGAACCCCCTCGCTGGGCTACAAGCCGACCCGGGCAGGCTTGGTTACGCTAGGCAATCTTCATCCAAGTTTGGTAAAGCTGCGCGCACAGTCAGCAAAACCAGAGCCATACTAAATCCAGGCCGCCAGCGCAAGGCCAGATATAAGCTGTTGAATATGATGCTGACCCCGAGGCTGAATGGTCAGCTTCGGTGCCAGATATCTGCACGAGTTCAGACCATCAGTAAGCCCTCGTAATCTCGCCATCGCTCGGACGTCCACTCCCCGTACATTTATTTTCCGCAAGTGATCCAAACATGCTCCTCGATGAAGGTGTACACGTCCGAGCGATGCCGGGTAATCACCCCGCTCCCTCCCCCAATTCGCTCGAGTAGGGGATCGTCTACACCATAGATTTACCACCTGATTGATCTTCTAGTCGAGTCATAAAGTAGAAGGTTCGTAGATCTGCGAAGAAACAGTCTACGCATTTCTCATGGATTCGACGAACAGAACAATTCTGGGGGGTTCGATCAATTCTGCAGTCGCTCCCCTGCCCGGAAATCGCCCGCCAAAACCAGCGCCCCGAGTGCGCGCAAAGTCCGGCGCGTGGGGAGCCCCCCGGCGGATCGTCCCCCACCCCCCCGTGTGCCAGAGAGGAGGAGAAGGAGGAGGGGGAGGAGGAGCAGGAGGAGAAGGAGGAGGAGGTCATTGCTCCTCCTCCTCCTCCTCCTCCTCCTCCTCCTACTACTACTACTACTCCTCCTACTCCTGCCTCTTGCCTCCTCCTGCCTCCTGCCTCCTCCCCCCCCCCTATGGCAGCATCGAGTCGGAAAATCGCATCGCATCGGAGCGGCCGCTCCAGGAGGCACCACAGCGCCATGTCGGCGTCGGGCCGCATCGCATCGCCAAGCGCTCGAAATCGAATCGGATCCAACTGGCCAAAGATGATGGGCCTGTTTTCCACCATCACCACCACCATAAGTTGGAGGGCGGAAGGAGGTGGGGAAGGAGGAGGAGGAGGGGGGAGGAGGAGGAGGAGGAGGAGGAGGAGGAGGAGGAGGAGGAGGGGAGGAGGAGGAGGAGGAGGGAGGAGGAGGAGGAGGAGGAGAAGGAGGAGGAGGGCGGAGGAGAAGGATGAGGAGGAGGGCGAGGAGGGCGGAGGAGGAGGAGGAGGAGGAAGAGGAGGAGGAGGAGGAAGAGGAGGAGGAGGGAGGAGGAGGAGGAGGAGGAGAAGGAGGAGGAGGAGGAGAAGTGGGGGATGAGGCCAAATCTGCTGATAATCGCTACCCGGACCCCTCCCGGGGGTCCATCTGGCTCAGTTCTTTGCCCCAGATCCGTGTCTGACGGCCCCAGGGCGTCCGAACACGACCCCCACTCAACACAGAAAACCTCCTCGACCCCAGGAATCGACCCTGCCCCCGTCTTCCTGCTGGCCAAAACCATGGCTGGGCCACCTCGAACCCCCACGCGGCTCCAATCGGGCCGGGCGAAAGGGGGGGATAGCAAAGGGGAGGTTTGAGAATCAGCTCACGTAGCTGATTTTCCCGGCGCCTCCCGGCGCCCATATGTATCGAGGAGGGGGCCCCTCGGTGAGGCCGAACCCAGCGGCATGCAGCAAATTTCGTACCCCCCCCTTTCCCAATCCCCCCCTTTCGCCTGGCCCGATCTGACTACCTACCAGACCACCCCAACCCAACCCGAAGACCCGAATTTGACCCGAATTTCGGGTGGGGGGGGGTACGGGTTCTATGTGTTTTTTCAACGTTCCCCGACCCCCCCCCCACACTGGAAATGGAGGGCGAATTGACGCCTTCGGGTTGGGTTGGGGTGGTTTGCTGGGTGGTGACGATCCAAGACCCAGCCGGCCGGCCCTGCCAGGCAGCGCGTCCTGCGGCCCAGCTCCGAGGCGGGCAGGGCCACGCCGGCGGCGGCCCCCGCGTGGCGGGCCCACCGGCCGAACATCACGGCCCTCGGCGGCGAGCGCGGGCGGGAGCCATGCCGGGTGCCCTGCAGGCAAAAACGCCTGCGGGCGGAGCCCCCCCCTCCCTCGCGGTGAGGAGCTGCTGCGTGGCCTGTCGCCACGTCGGCCCTGGCAGCACGCCAGCCCTGCGAGGGGACAGCGTGCCCCCGCCGCTCCACGGGGCGGGAGGTCCGGACCAGCTCGAGCTGGTGACCGCCTGGGAAGCGAGACAGCATACACGTCGTTCGTTCATTTCTTACCGTGCTCATTTCTAATTGTGCTCGTTTCTAATTGTTCCTGGCCCCCTAGTGGCTAGGAAGAGGCCCAGGATAGCACAATTCGAAATGAAAGGATCTTGCCCCCCCAAAAAATCAAACAACTTTCGAAGAATTGGAAATGAGCAATGTGTAGCGTGTCGCACCGAAGCGTGGTGGGCCAGAACCGGCGGCGCGGCGCATTGTCGTTAAGTTCTCGACCGCACCGCGTGCAGGACGAGGAGGAGGAGGCAGGAGGAAGAGGAGGAGGAGGAGGATGGGGAGGAGGAGGAGGAGGAGGGGGAGGAGGAGGAGGAGGAGGAGGAGGGGGAGGAGGAGGAGGGAAGACGGATGATGATGATGATGATGATGATGATGATGATGATGATGATGATGATGAGGAGGAGGAGGCGGAGGAGGAGGATATGATTTAATATGAGCTGATATGCTATGCTTTGATATGGTATGGCATGATATACTATGTAATGATATGCACTGATATGCATTGATATGCTATGATATGGGATGAGACGATACGACATGTGATGTTGTGGCCGTATGAAATGCTATAGTATGATGTGTTGTGGTGTGATATGAGATGATATGAGATGACTGGGCCTGATATGATATGCTATAAGATGAGATGAAATGATATGGCATGATAGGATACGATATGTTATGATGTGATATGACTTGCTACGCTATGCTGTAATGTCAGAATGAAGGGGGCCGATTGGTCCGTCATTGTCCCTGGGTGCGTGGCTGAAGTGCGGATCCGTGGTGAGGATCCTGCTTGTTGCGTCATTGTTGTTGTTGTTGGTGTTGTTGTCGTCGTTTTTGCTGTTGTTGTTGTTGATGTTGATGTTGTGTGTTTGTTTATTTGTCTGTTTGATTGTTTGTTTGTTGTCGTCGTCCCGCCAACGACCCACCCGCGACCCAGCCCGCGACCCAGCCCAAGACCCAGCCCGCGACCCATCCCGCGACCCACCCCGCGACCCACCCGCGACCCTTCCACGTTGCTTTAACACAAAATCGGCGCCTGCGGCTGGCTCGTTGTCAGGGTGAGGGGGCCGAACGGTTATTCATGGTCCCTGGGTGCGTGGCTGAAGTGGGGATCCGTGGTGAGGATTATGCTTGTTGCGTTGTTGTTGCTGTTTGTTTGTTTGTTTGTTTGTTTGATTGTTTGTTCCCTACCTAGGCTCTGCCTAGAGGGTTATTACCCTCTTTCTTAAAGGGACCGGGCAGTGTAACTCGCCCCGGGCGGTTCCCCCGGCATCCGCCCCGCGGTTCCCCCAGTTACGTCCCCTTAGCTTAGCGTTGCTTATCTCATCTTAGTTTAGCTTATTTCATCTTAGCTTAGCTTAGCTTCATCTTAGCTCAGGTTTATCTTAGCTTAGCTTACCTTCATCTTAGCTTCGCTGAGCTCCAGCATAGCAGAGCACAGCATAGCATAACGTAGCATAGCATAGCGCAGCACAGCACATCATAGCATAGCCCAGCATAGCATAGCATAGCGTAGCATAGCATAGCATAGCATAGCATAGCATAGCGCAGCACAGCACAGCATTAGCATGGGTGTAATTCCCTACCTAGGCTCTGCCTAGAGGGTTAGCTTAGCTTAGCTTAGCTTAGCATAGCGCAGCGCTGCATTAGCATAGCATAGCATAGCATAGCATAGCTTAGCATAGACCAGCATAGCATAGCATAGCATAACATATCATAGCGCAGCATTGCATAGCATAGCATAGCATAGCGCAGCTTAGCATAGCATAACATAGCATAGCATAGCTTAGCATAGCACAGCGCAGCATGACATAGCATACTCCAGATGTCGTGATAAAAGGGAGGGGGTCACAACCCTCCCAGACGAGAAGTTTTAGACCCCCGCAGACCATCCATGAAAGGGCGGCCATTTGCCCAAACCCCCTCCGAACCCTCCAAGACAGCTCGAATCAGACCCCCCCCACATGTGACCCACCCCCCTTTGTTATGGAATCCGGAGTAGCATAGCTTAGCATAGCGTAGCATAGCATAGCATATCATAGCGCAGCATAGCATGGCATAGCATAGCATAGCAACTAATGCTGCTTTCCTAGGGGCTCCAACTTCTAGGTAGGGTCGCACTGGGGTAATTTGTTTGTTTGTTTGTTGTCGTCGTCCCGCCCGCGACCCAGCCCGCGACCCAGCCCGCGACCTACCCCGCGACCAACCCCGCGACACATCCCGCGACCCACCCGCGACCCACCCGCGACCCACCCGCGACGCACCCGCGACCCACCCGCGACCCACCAGTGACCCACCTACGACCCGGCACGTGACCCAGCCGCGACCCAGCTGCGACCCAGCCGCGAGCCACCCGCGACCCACTCGCGACCCACCCCGCGAACCCACCCACTTTGCTTCAACAAAAAACCAGCGCCTGCGGCGGGCTTCTTCAGAGCCTCGCAGACTGAAGACGTCCCCGCCGCCCCCTCACTCTTATCCGCGACTGCGGGGTGCGGTGCCGCGTCGGAACGGGGGATTTCATGCTTCGTGCCGATGACGAGGATGGACCTGCCCGCCTTGCGTTTGCCTCCCAGTCCTCAACTCTAGAACCTTCTCGCTCGGAATCTCGAGAGGAGCCAAAAGAACGACATCAACAGAAGTTTTCGGAGCTCCGCGTGGATTTCTTGGATCGGCGCTGGATCTTTCTCCCTGGCGCGTGCAGCGCGTCGGGGACGGCGCCGGAGGCGCCGCCAGGGGGACCCAGCGCTGATCCAAGAAATCCGCGGGAAACGTCGACAGTTTATTTTTATGCCGTTTTCCCTCTTCGAATCATGGTGTTGACGACGCGCTCCCCGGCCTCTCGCCCAACGCAAACGCCGCCGCCATCGCTGCCGCTGGGCGGTATCCCACGCCGTCGCCCCATGCCTTTGGTCCTTGCTGTCCCCCCTCTTTCTCTGCACCCCACCCCACACCCGCACGCACATCCGTGCGTGTTACCTCCGGCCTGCCTCCCGCCTTCCTCAGCCTCCCTCCCTCCCCCCTCTCTCCCCTCCTGCCCTACCCTCCTTCCTCCCCTCCAATCCCTCAGTGTGTGTGTGTGTGTGCGTGTGTGTGTGTGTGTGCGTGTGTGTGTGTGTGTGCGTGTGTGCGTGTGTGCGTGTGTGCGTGTGTGTGTGTGTGTGTGTGTGTGTGTGTGGGTGTGGGTGTGGGTGTGGGTGTGGGTGTGGGTGTGGGTGTGGGTGTGTGTGTGTGTGTGTGTGTGTGTGTGTGTGTGTGTGTGTGCGTGTGCATGTGTGTGAGAGAGAGAGTGTGTGTGTATGTGTGTGAGAGAGATGTGAGAGAGTGTGTGTGTATATGTGTGTGTTTTGTTTCCCCGCGCACGCGAGCCCCGCCCCAGCCGTTCCGCCCTCCCCTCTGCTCCCATGCCGCCCCGCTTCGAAGTGGTGAGGGGAAGTATCGATCTGGCGGACATTGGGGAAGGGCTGGCGCTTGGAACAGCATGTGGGACCTCCGGAAGCGGACCTGACCGTGTACGGATCTATCCGGTTCTCCGGCTTTGTACTGCGCCGAACGCAACGGCCGCGTTGTCCATAGACGCATCCATGCCACATGCATCCATGTACCCAACGACACCCAATGTGTCTATCGATGCGTGCGGCTAGAACGTCAAGGCGGTATGTGGCACATGCCCCTCATTTTCAACAGCCAAACTGTGCCCTCCAAGCTGGTGCGCGCGCTCCGCTTCTCGCTCTCCGGCGAGCGTCGGCCTGACGCCCTTTGGCGCCGTCGTGACCGTGACCATGCCGCCCACGGCTGCGCGAATCCCCTGCCCACGGCCAGCCGGGCGAGCCGTGCCTCACCTGCACACGAAGGGGGGGGGGGGGGGGGGCATGGGCATCGCGCACAGGAGTCGTTGGACGGAAATGGGATCACAGCTCGGCTGGCGGACGGCCCAGAGCGGGAAACTCGCGGGCCGCCCGCAGTTGCACGACATGCTGTTTTTTGCGTGGGTGGGGGAGGAGACTCACGCAACAGCAGCATGAGCAATGCGCTGGAGCCGTGTTTGGGCACTACCGCGAGGCACCGCGCGTGCATGCATGCTTTGCGCGCGACCGTCTGGGTTCACTCTGCAATTTTCTGCCCTGTCCGCTGTGGCGCGCCACGGCAAAATGTAGCCAATCGTCCGATTTGAACTCATCGCGCAACAGCCACATCCGCTCTTTTTCGTCCCCCTGGCGGCTTTAGCCAAACCAGATCGGTGCCAGCAGGCTGATGCACATGCCCCTGGCCAGCTCGTCGGCTGCTCGCGATCCTCGTACGAGGCACAAGCTCTGAATAACATATGATCGGGGCCCGCGCGCTGCTGGATGTGCCTCGCGACGCTGGCTGTTCGCGACCCCCGTAGGAGCGCTGAAGCACTAGGTGGCGGCATCCGAATCTTCGCCACGCCGCCCATCGTGTTGCCTGAGTAGTTGATCGGCGAAGTTAGAGTCCGGATTTCGCCGCCACAGCATACGGTCAGGAACTTGTGGGTAGCGCATCGCGGCGGCGGCAAAGGCGACGCGCTATGCCTTGCGAAGGTGGATAACAGGTCGTTCCGCTTCGCGGGGGGGGGGGGGGTCGGAAATCGTTCAGGAGGTTGTCGCTTGAGAATGAGGATTCGGAAACGGATGCACCGCGTCGCGCCGAAGCGCGAAACGCCAAATCCGGCCGAACGACGCGCTATCCAAAAGTTCCCGGCCGCAGGGGTCGGATTTCGCCGCCAGAGAATACGCCTCGCACGAAAGATTTGTTTGAGCTCCACGCTCTGTCCGCCACGTTTAG